TAAAAGGAATTACAAATGTCTTGCCAAGGCACCACACCCACCCCTCGGGCCGCCTAGGAACTCAACTCAACTTCAAATGCCCGACTGCTGTTTCAATTTGTTGCCCATTGTTGGTAGTTGGTCGCTTAATTAAGTTGACGCCGCAATCAAATCAAATAAAAATCAAAATCGCACGCATATGGCATTCGCCGCGGGAGCGAGGAGAGCGGCGATAGGCCACCCCAGGAGCAGGACCGCGGCCACTCGAGCGAGCGGGATGGCAGGAGTCGCCCAAGGACCTTCAGCATATGCTCCTGCTGATTCCCCTTTCGACCGACGATGCTGCTCTTGTGTCCCTGCAATCAACAATTGCTCGTCAGTGGAAACGAGGCGATGGCTGGAGAGTGGGTTAGGGTGGGGTGGGCGGACGCGTGTGGTCCGCTAATTCGCTTTAAAGCTTTTCAGGGTCGCTGGCTGGCTGTCGCCGCGATAAAGCGTCTTTGTTGGCACACACAGCGTCCTCAATGACATCGTTAAGTAATCCATTCAACTGATCGCTCACTCGCTCTTCGTGCGAGCTGTGTTTTCGCCATAACGACAACATTGTTCGTGGCAGAAGGACTCCAGATAGATGTATCATTTCCATCTGTGGGGAAGTATTATCATTGTTATCAGAGACATAATCTGTAATCACATGGTAGAGGGTGAACTTAGCTCGTTTTCCAATCAATATTTGTATGTTTTTTCAGCAGGAACATTAATTAAGAACAATTCTGCGTGTGTTGAGATGTCGCATTTCTGACTGGGTGGTATTTTTAGATTTACTTTAATATTTACAAGGAGAATGCAGCTCGAGAATAGCAATTAGTTTGTAATAATACAGTTCATCGAAGCCCTAGTTAGGGGTTATTATAATTAATAATTTAATGTTTATCATAAGAAAGTTGAGTAACAAACAGCCGTAATTTAATATTAAATATTCCCATAAAATCTGTTTTTATATTTTAGAACATCGCACAAAGCACTTGCTATTGGTCCGATTCCTCCCAACCCCTAATCCTTATTAAAGGCTATGTTCCCCAGTACCTGCCATCCAGTCCAGCCATCTGCAGACACCTTCCGAAATACGATCCCTAATCATCGCATTTGGTCCGGCGTAATAACCAAGTTTACAAATTAGAGAGTCCAGTGGGCTGTCCACTTCAAATCAAACATGGAAATGGTAAAAATATTGGACATGCCGTTCGGGCCAGGACCCACACACACGCATACACAGGCACAAGATACCGGCTCCACCTACAAGCCAAATGCTAATTTGAGTGCTCCACATTTTCCGAGGGGGGCCGCGGCGGGGGAGCCGAAATTTGGATTTGTAATTGGAATCAACGGACGGGTGATTGGATGATGGACAGGAACAGGACCAGCTCCGAAAGGGTTCGCCTGGTTTCGGGTGGCAGAGGACCGGGCCTATAAGTAGGCTAGCATTGCCATTGATTTTAAAGGATCTCCGAATCACCCGAATCCATGCAAATTGGGTGGGTGGCTGGATGGGCTGAGGACTGCTGAAAGGGAGGAGCTGATGGAATCGGACAAACGGATGCGTAATGTCGCCACTGTAAATGAATGAGTCGAACTCGAGGGCATGTGTGTGTGTGGTGCGTGCATTGAATGTGGCTTGTTTTACACTCGAACGCATTTGAATACGTTGCTAATGGGATTTTGATGATGACAATGTTGCCGGTCTACTGTCCCTCCCCGCCTCCGAGGAGGTCTGACTTCTGTGCTCTGCTCTCTGTCGAAATGTCGCTTCGAAAAAGGATTCCCATCCGTTGGGCTCCGTGGAGAAACTTTAACCGCACTGGAGCTGGAGTGCCTCAACTTGTTCTTAAACAGTTTGAATGGCCGGCCAGAGGAGAGCAGCATTATGTCGCTCTAATGCGTACAAGTACATAATGGCAAGTACACACACAGTACACAGTGTACAGTACACAGCCGGAGGAAGGTCCTCCCGGACCTGCCCATCCAATTACCACCCCGCAACATGGCTTTCGAGCCCGGGCCGGATGACGACAGCAGTCCAACAACACGGCCACGTCAAGCAGCGGCAACATAATGTGCCATTCACTTCCGTTCCGGCGGAGGTCCCCAAAGAACGGCAAAAGATTCAGCACTCCCTCCCCCCTGCGAAAGGTCCTTTTTGTCAGGACACCTACACAAGCGCAGAGACAGCCGGACTACATGAGCAAACGCCTGTTCCTGTCACCGCTCCCTCTCCTGCTCCCGGAAAACCGCTCCTGCTCCTGCACTCCTACTGCTTCCACCGCTGACACATTTGCGGTTACGTTTTCAAGCCATTGCGCGCCATTGCCACACGGATACACACGCACACCGGCGCAGGAATTACAACAGCCACCCTCTTACCCTCTTACCCTCGTGACCCCTGACCCACCACTCTCACTCCCACTCCGCTGTTTACTTTTTACAGGTTGCGGCTGCGGTCGCTCGCTGCGCGGTGGTTGGTTTCCCTTCAAGGGTTAGCCTGTACTGTGAACACCCTCCCGCACCGCGTTTTCGGCTTTCCATGTTTTAGTTTGCCTTTTGCCAATGTAAGTTGGACAATTTGGGCGTGTCGTTCAAATACCGCAGGCCGTGGGTGGCCCAACTCCGGTCCCACTGCCATTCCGAATCCCGGTTCCAGACCGACTTCTCACGCAAGCCCAAAAGATCCCAAAACTCAGGGGATACGACAGCAGTGCTGGCCGAGTTAGGGGTCGATAGCTGGGACGAGCAACTTAACGGGGCTGAAAGTGCTTACAAATCAGAAATTGGGAAATCTTACTTGGTATGGAAAAACAATATTTTATTCAATTTCAGTTTAAATGACGTTAATACTGATATACTGACTTTCTTAAAAGTGTTCGCAAAATGTCACTCTGTGTTTCCATTCTTTAAAACCAATTTGTATCTTTAAATCAACTAAGTTAGAATGTTTTCAATAAGGTTTTGATAAGTTTATCGTATCAGTTAGGAAACTGAAGCATAGTGAGGAAACGGAAGTCATTCCTGTAAAGATTTCTCCAAAACGGCTTTATTACAGCCAAGCTGCCACCTCCGACAGAACTCCAGACGTTTGCATAGTCCTTTGCTGAGTTGCACGAGTGTCCTTTGGCCGGGACAACTTTATTGGGCCGCCAACGCCGCCCCACCGGCCATTAGCCACCGCTAGCAACAACCACGCCACTGTGCCTGCACCACCCCTTGGCCAACTTCGCCATACCCACCTTCGAACCCGCGGATAGGGGACGGGGACTGGGACCTACCCCTGGGCATACAATATGGCTTATTATTGGCTTTCAGTGTTGGCACGTTCGATTATTTGTGTCTTAATTAGCGTTTGTTGAGATTTGTTGTTGATGTAATAAACTAATAAGCAACCGCAGCGTGGTGCCTGCCCCACCTGCCCACCTGCCCACCTGCCCCACTTGCCGCACCTGGCTGCAACTTAATTGCAATTCAATTGTCGATATGCCGCGGCAAAAGTTTTGTTCAATCTTTTATTGGTTCTGGCCAGAAGTCGGAACAGTAGAAACCGTCAGAATGCTAATTGGCCGGCATGAGCGAACGAGTTTAATAATAATAATTTGGTTAGCTGGTTAGCTGATTAGCCGTGGAACTCGGCTCGTTTCCACCTATTCAGGCCCATTCACAGCCATTCGGGCCTTGGCTAATTCGTGTATTTGTGGCTGTCAATCTGTCGATGGATGTGGCTGTGGACTTGGATGGGAAACCTCTGGGCCTCCGCGCAATTAGCACTTTATTTTCGGAGCCGCATTGATTGGGTGGAGACTACTTAGGGAAAATTGAATCGAATGACGCTGGCCTTTTGGCCCCGGCCTCTTCATTTCCGGCCTCCTGCGAAAGGGGTCCCGTTCGAAGGGGATGTGTGTTATGGGGCAGTATTAACTCCGAATCCATTAAGTGCTCAATCACACTCAAACGGAGGCCATTAAGCGCAAGAAATGCATTAGAAATTGCGACAATCAGCCACTGATTAGGCTCGCTTGCGGTGCACCACCGTTATGGAAATCGCAGTTGCCGTGCCACATTAGAGCTTATTAATTGCAACTCTATCTTAAACGCATCTGCTGTGGCGAGCGGGTCACCTGGCAATTACACAAATGAGTTCGATCCAATCGATCCGATCCGATCCAATCCTCTCGAGCGGTGCTTGTCACCAGATCGCTGACCAGTCGGCACCGCAGCACGTGTTAAGTGGCGCTTTAACTGCACTTAATTAAGCTGGAATTAGTTGCAATCAGCGGCGGACGGGATATGAAAGCTTATGCTTACAGTACCTGGGTGACCCGTGCCACGGTGGTGGTCGGTGGTCGGTGGGCAGTGCCTAGCGCCCAGCTTCCTTCCGCAGCAGGAACTGGAACCTTCCTGCTGCCTGCCCAGAACCCAATCAATGCAAATCAAGCCAGCAATCGCTTGAAATTAGCCCGCGACTACAAAGTCAACAGTCGGAAATGGCCACTCATCGATCGCTGGCCCTTTTCGCTGTTGCTCAGGGCACTGTGGGCTAAAATGATGAGCTTCTGGCATAGATCTGATAGGAAAGTTAATGGGAAATGTTACTAATGGAAAATAAGTATTTAACCTTTCGAATTACAAGCCATTTCTCCGCTGAACTTTCCGGTTTTCAAATATATTGTTCTGTCAAACTTTCTTTGCAGATTTCAAGACAAAGCTTAGTCAATGTTAATACCAACTTCTGGTAAAGTATCTCCATCATTTTCCCCTAGTAGCAAGTCACTGTGCATTACCCGCCAATTTACATGCGGCGAGGCCACAGAGCAGATAGCTGATATCTTCATTCGCCCATCGACCATCGCCCATCGCCCATCCGGTTTGGGCCGGCCAAGGGCTTCCTGACGACAGGAGATGCAGCACTTGTTCTTAACGATTTTTAATTAATATTTTAACTAACTATTAATAGCAGCGGCATCCGGGCGCACTTCTCACTTCTTCATGGAACTGACGATGAAGCTGCGCACCCGATGCACGCTGGTGTAGACGCCAGGATACTTGGCGTTGGCGCATCCCAGTCCCCAGGAGACGATGCCGCAGAGCTGGTTATTGAAGATCGCCCCGCCGCCCGAGTCTCCAGAGCAGCTGTCCTTGCCGTTGGAGCGGGCGCAGAAGGTGGAAGCGGTCAGGGTGTCTCTGTTTTGGTATGCCTTCTGGCAGGTCTTCTTGCGGATCAGCTCGATGCGGACGGTGCGCAGTTGGTTGGATGGATTGGAGTTGCCGTAGCGCGTGGTTCCCCAGCCGGAGACGCGCATGTAGTCGCCAGCCTTCCACTGCACCTGGCAGAGGGGTATTGTGGTAATCCCACTGCCCGTCAGGGAGCTCTGCAGCCGGATGACACCCACATCCCAGTTGAGACTGGAGCTGCTGAAGCTGTTCGGGATGAAGAACTTGGACACGCGTCTTACGACGCCCGTCTGGCTCAACTTGCTGACTCCGCCCTGGACGGTTATCCTTCCCGCCTTTTTGTCTTTGAGGCAGTGGGCTGCCGTCACCACGTGCTTGCTGCTCACCAGGGAGCCGCCGCAGTAGAAGCTTCCGTCATAGCGCAGGTTCACTACAAACCCACCCACAGCGGACAGGGTGGTGGTGGTGCCGCCCACGATTCTGGGCTGGATCTGTCCGTGGGCTGAGCCAAGCAGGAGCTGGAAGAGCAGTAGAAGACGCCACATGGTAGGGGCAACTAAGTCGGCCAGCGATAGGGTCTGGAGCTTTTAACGGCGAAGGAACCACTAGCGACTGAGGGGTTCCAGCTGTGCAAACAAAATGTGCGGATTGGCTTTCACGGTCGCTTAACATGACGCAGTCTGTGGAAGAAAACCGACACTGGGAGTGGGTCAAATTCGCGGAGACTTCTCGTGTGGCACAACATGTGGATCATGACCTTGTGGGGTTCACAAAAACATGTACTTTTCATTGAGTTTATGTTGACTAGAGGGAAGGGGACCATGCTCAACACTAGATAAATGTGGAGTCATAAGAGAGCAAAGTGATTTTAAAGTCTGAAAACAAATATAACTCCTTGGTAGTAGTGGAACCTAGTGTTAGTCTAGATTAAATGGCATCCGAAGTAGAAGGGTAACTAATATTCCTAAGGGAAATCACCTCACTTAGGCTCCAGTCCAGCCTTTCAGAGCTTTTTAACTGCCATCAGCACCTCCGAAGCGGCCAAAAGAATTCTTCTCCTCGTTGTGAGTCATGAAACGGGGCGGGATTGGCTGGAGATCTCCACTGGAAGATAACCATTTCGTACCCAAAGTCAGAGCCAAAGTCGGTGGATGAGGATGAAGAAGAGGCGGCGTGGAATGGCAGTGCCCTTTGGCTTCGTTTTGGCTAAAAACAGCGCATTCCAAGCCGCAGAAGGGAAAACCAACTCGATGTGCGAAGGCTACCATATTGGGTTGGAGGATGGCTGAATCCAAAGCCTCCTGGCGTCTGGGCTGGGACGTGGGGATGGGGATTTGGGACTCGGGCCTGGGCTACACCTACTGGCGGCCGGCGACCTTATCGCACCCATTAATCTGGCAGGCCGGGCAAAGAAATGGGCAATAACGAACCAAATGAGGCGAGGCAAGATGGTGGATGTCCCCGCAGCCTGCCCCTGCTCCTTTCTCCTTGCGCCTTGCTCCTGCGGCAGGCAATATGGCGGAGAGCTGGGCAAAACCTAATGAAAAGCAAAAGCAACCCCGGGAGGGAGCGGTGAGTTAAATATTATGACCGGCTCTGAAAACGCCCGCAAAAGCTGGGTTCCTGCACCATTGCTTGCCCCATACGCAGCCAACATAACGAAAACAAAAACAAAAACAAAAACAAAGGCAAAAAACACAAAAAACGAGAGAAAAAATATGAATTTTTTACGATCTCAAGTCATGCAAAAAGCGAAACGAATCAGAACGCGGTGCGCATTGGACGTGAGTCGCGAATGCTTCGTGCGGGGCTATGATGGCGGCCATGGTGGGTTAACGTCATCCCCGGACCCCTATTCCCCACCGCCCTCCCTCTTGGCCACGTTTTGGGTTTTGGCCCGGGTTTTGCACTCCTTTTTCTTGTGCGCGCACACCGCCCGAGATAAGAACGTTGTTGTACTTTCTGTACTCTTTGTACTTTTTGTACTTTTTGCAGTTTTTGTAGTTTTTGTGCTTTTTGTAATGCGCTGCGCTGTTGTATTTGTCTCGTATTCCGTGATGGCGACCATCATGGAGCAGGGAACCTCTGGCGGAAATGTTTGACAGACACGTAATGCCCTCGCCACAGTCATAAATTTTTCTATTCTTTGCATACGTTCTGTGTTTCCCCTCTCGCACCAGCTCTCCAGCTCCCAGCTCTCCATCGCGGTATCGAACGATTTTCCCCCGACACCCCTTGGCTGGGATTCGGAAAAGCGAAGCTGAAGAAACTGCCAATGGAATTTTATAATGAACATTCAGTGGGCCTGACATTTTGTGCTGCTAAAGTGCAGTTAAGGAATAATTGTTACTCTAAAAAACAGCAGCGAGCCCGTAACTACGGCCCGGAGGGGAGCAATAGGAGAAATGAAAAAAAAACTGGAGATGCCCAGCACACAATGGGTTGGACCACACGGCTGGGGAAGACGGGGGAAAACCTACCGTTCTACTGGAAGGGGAAACACTTTAAAACAAAGTGACGAGAAAGGTCGTAACATCCAAAGGGAACAATCATCGGACATGGCAGAGGCGGAGGAGAAGGGACCAGCAATGGCTCGATAGGAATGCAAAGTACCCACCCACACCGCAGGGAGAGCCAGAAGTAGTACGACAATTTTCGCTCAGTGTGTGTTGCAATTTGAAAAATAAATTGGCATGAAATATTAAGAAAGTGCCATCCCTCATTTTCTTCGTTTTTCTACCGCAAATTCATAGTTTTCCAAGGCGTAATCGATTTCGTATTTGGATGTCGGCCAATTACTGCCATCGATTCGCAGTTTAAATACTTAATGTTATTGACAACATTGTTAGCCTTAAATGATTAGGATGATGGCAACGATATGTGTTTTCAACGGAGTGAATACTGAGATTACTTTTACAACGCAATCCGAAATCTGCGCAACTTTGAAGGCGGCGTGCTAATGCATATCCCATCACCAGAAGACTTCGCGACACCCCGAAAACACAGAGTCACAGCCCTAGATAAAGAGAAACCAAGCCCAAAAAACCTTTGGGACCTTTTCGGCATTTTTCGGAGAGAGATGCTGGCGGGAAGATGGCTGAAAACACTCATACGCCCCGTTTTAGCTGCTGCAACCACAATGGCAGCCAAACGAGGGGGGCATGTGTGCGAGGCAGCCTTAAAAGCGGCTCCAACTGAGCCGGGCCAAAAAAGAGGTACAACAACCAGCAAAACAGTGCAAACTCGGGCGCCGACCAACAACCATGACACCAAGCAGTTGGGGGAGGCGGAGTTGCAGTTGGAGTCGAGTTGGAGTTGGAGTTGGCCGAAAGAGAGATGGGGCGGAGGGTCTGGCATATTCGTGCGCAATTTCGCGTTTGACGAAACATATAATCTTCGCACATTTCTATGGAAATGAATGGATTGGTGAATGCCTTGCCTGATGCATTGATAGATGCGGACCCGGATTGATGGATATATGGCTGGTTGGATAAATTGGATTGGTATTGGTTTTCCAACTGCTCCCCAACAAGACGACCAGCCGCAGAGAGATGGCAGAAATGGTGAAATGGGAAAAAGTTCAGAAATAGGTGGCATATTTCTTTGGTTGCTGCATTTTCGCTGCAGTTTCTCCCGGCGGGGCTGCGGTGCTGCATGCAAATGGGAATCCCCTGCTCCACCTTCACGGGGGCCACACCCTCGAAATCTCCCATTCTGCAAGAGCCAGGCGCCCCAGCGTCGCTGTTTTTTGATTTTTCCACTCGTGTTCTACTTACGGAGTGTGTGCTCTGGTGTGTGTGTTCGTGTGCCTGTGTGTGTGTGCATTTCGTGTGTTTTTCTGCTCTGCGCCTATGCAAATATGCAATTAAGTCGGCCTGGCCCGACTCTTGCCATCGAGCGGCATGTTTGCTGCCATCTAACATGGCATTCCGTCAGCAAACGGACGATCGGAATCAAAATCAGCAACAGAGTCAGAGTCGCAGTCTGAATCTGAATCTGAATCCGAATCCGAATCCGAATCCGCTGCAGACAACTGCACCAGCAATCCGCTCATCGTCGCAAACTTGCCAAAGTTGGCACTACGAATAGGACCAGCCGGGATGGGCAATGGCAATGGAAGTGGAAGTGGGAGGGACGAGTTGATGGCCACCATGCGATTGGCTTAATAGCTGGGTCATGTATGGGTGAAGTGTGGGCTATGGCGTTGGAAATAGCAGGGGAAGATAGATAAGAGAACGGATTGATTATATGGACAGATCGATAGATAAAAATGCCTATAATCTGTCAGCTGAACATCGATGGCTCGGATGCTATGTGTGGTGAATGTTTGTGCCGAAAGAAATAACTCATTTTCTAGCCATGCTAATATACTTCAAATAACCTTTCTTTTTCGGGAGGTCTATTGAGCGATAGATATGTACTCTTTCTTTACTTTCCTTCTTAAGTTTAAGCTTATGGTTATAATGACAAAAACTGAGAGAGACACTTAGGCAAATATCATCAAAAATGGACATTCAGGGCGGCGTATACTTGATGTGCTTTCGCAGGCTCTGCGTATACTTGATATTCAGGCACCCTCCAACCATTTCCCCCTAATGAGAAATTTGCATCTGGTATGCAGCAGCGAAATGCGCTCAAGGCAAAGAAATCGCAAAAAGAAAACAATGTTGAATGCTTACAAAACGTTAACCGCAGCAGGCTGACGAGGAGGAGGAGCGGGATGCCGCGGCGAAAGAGAGAAATAAAAACAAAAATGCAGCAACGAAATTCCGATGAAAGCATTGCTGCATCTTCCGTCCCGCTCTGTCTCGCTCCCTCTCTTTCCCACGCGGGCCTGCCTCCGTGTGAGTGTGGTGTGCAGAGGCGACGCCATGTTGCGTGTAGTACGCGTGCAGAAAACATATGTATAAGTTCGCATGCACATGCTCGTATGTAGGCACGTAACGCACTCGGATTTCGCATTATGGCCGACGCGAACGCTTGTGGCTGCATGGCCATGTGGATGTGTGGATTTGCGGCCATGTGGCCATGTGGCTCTTAGCTCCAACTTGGCTTCCACTTCCACTGCTTTGCGTGCCAGCCACCCAAGCAAAGACCCGAAATCAGACACTCGGAAAAAGCTCATCTTCATCTCCCCTGTCTTTCGGAATAAAGTTTATAGTTTCGTAAGCTATTGAACTTACTAAAAGGCAGTTTGAAGATGGAATTTCGCTGTAACCACTCCTTAACAGCAGTAAGTTTATACACTAAGCACAACATATACAGAAGGTGGTAAAATACTGAACTATAACATTTTCTCTCTGTGCAGAACGGCGAGGGAGAGATCCGATCCCATACAACTTACTTGTCTTGACTGCCTTTGCGGTAGAAATGCAGTCGGAGCGAGAAGCGGAGAAGTCTTCAGCTGGAAAGGAAACCGCTCGGGGGGCGGGGACCTGGGTGCAACAAAGTCCCACAAATTATACACTGGATAAGCTGCAGCGAGGTGCTGAGTTGCTGAGTTGCCGAGATGTTGAGCCGTTGAGCTGCCAAGCTGCCGAGGCCT